TTTGTTATTTTTATTTTATGTGTATGAGTATATTGTCTGCATGTATGTAAGTGCACCTGTGTTGTGCAGTGCCCATGGAGGTCAGAAGAAGAGGGTGTTGGATCTCCTGGAACTGGAGTTATGGATGGTTTTAAGCTACCCACCATGTCGGTGCTGGGAATTGAACCTGGGTCCCCTGAAAGAGCAGCCCAAGTGTTAACTGCTGAGTCATCTCTTCAGCCCCCTTATTTATTACTTTTATTTTATGTGTATGAGTGTTTTGCCTGCATGTATGTAAGGGCACCATGTGCATGCAGTGCCCCTCAGAGGCCAGAAGAGGGTGTTGGGTCCCCTGAACTGGAGTTACAGATGATTGTTAGCTGCCATGTGGGTCCTAGGAATCAAACCTGGGTCCTCTGGAAGAACAGCCAGTACTCTTAACCACTGAGTCATCTCTTCAGCCCCATACAGAATGTTTTTTTCACTCCAGAAAGAAACTCTGTAATCATTAACTCCCAGCCTTAAAATATGTTATTTTAAAAGAATATTTTATTTATTTTTATTTTATGTGTATGAGTATATTGCCTGCATGTATATAAGTGCACCCATGTCTTGAAATGATTGTAGAAGTCAGAACAGGGTGTCGGATCTCCTGGAACTGGAGTTATGGACTGTTGTTAGCCTTCATGTGGGTGATAGGAATCAAACCCCTGTCCTCTGCAAAAGCAGCCAGTGCTCTTAACCACTGAACCATCTCTCCAGCACCTAAAATATGTTATTGAAAATTTTTAACGGGGCTGGAGCGATGGCTCAGCAGTTAAAAGCACTGACTGCTCTTGCAGAGGACCCAGGTTCAAGTCCCAGCACCCACATGGCAGCTACGAACCATCCTTAACTCCAGTTCCTGGGGAATCCAAAGTCCTCTTCTGACCTCTGTGGCATTGCACAACACGGGTGCACTCACATACATGCAGGCAATACAGTCGTACACACAAAATATAAATAATAAATAAAAACTTAAAAAAAATTTTAAGTACCTAGTATTAAGTAGCATATTATTCATGATATATCTGTATCAGAATATATCTATATATCTTTATCTATCTAAATATGATTTTAATTTTCAGTCAAAAAATTGTTTTAGAATTTTTGCCAAATAGCACACACATTTCTTTTAGTCTTAGGCAGCCATGGTGGTTTTGAAAGTACTTAGTAAAAGTTAAGTACTTAATAAAAAGTGTCTATAGATGCGTAAAACAGTGACGATCTTGTGATACATATTATATGTATTTGTTATATATTGTAGACATGTTTTTGATCATTGGAATCTAATTAAATCTGGTATGTTCTCTTGCATCAGTGAAGAATAAAAAAAGGCAAAAAAAATTGGCTATAATGGGCACTAAGCTCATTCTCAATACTCACAAACTTTGGTTTTGACGATTACTTAATTTTGTATACAGATTGATTGCTCTCTGGAGAATATTGTACAAAAAAACTGTATGGTATCAAGCACAATTAAGCCGAAGAATTCTTGAAGGTGACAAACCATTAACTGAAAATATAAAGCATGAAGTGTCTGTTGTCAAGAACCTGTTATGCCATCTACAGACTAGTTTACAGATAGCTGGAGATAGCTTGAATGAAGCCTTAGAACTTATACCTATCAATGGTCAGTATCTTATAAACAATTTCTAACTCTTTGAATATGTGAAATAATTAACTGCACTTTGATTTTTTTTAAGCTTGGTTGCAGTTACTTGTTTTTCAGAATTTCTGAATTTCAAAGATATATCCACTGAATTTTAAAACAAAGTAAATGTTTATAAAGTTATGTAATTAAGTGTGACTTCTTGTTGAAATCTTCCTAGGTGAAGAGTGTTTCCTGTTAGGATCATATGAAAAATCAGTTCATCTATGGAAGAAGGCTCTACAAGAAACTGAGAAGAAAGGTAGGAGATTTTAAAGGGACGTATGTACCAATGTATTGGTAAGAACATAAATTAAATTGCTGCAGAGTTTAAAAATGTTAGAGTTCAGAGTCCTCACAAAATCTTAATGTCCAAATAGGATGCATATTGTAGAGAATTTGACTATCACACATATTGTATTTAAAATTATTTTTAATCTTGAAATTCATGACACTAAGACTCTTTTCAATGATCTCTGGTTTAGTTTCCTGTTCTCCCCCTCCCTCTTTTTGGTTAGTGATAAATTCTGTAGTTGATTGTTAATGGACAGAAATGAGCTTTAGATCCTAAACAATTTTTTCCATTTAAGGAACCATAAATATTACATGGGAAACTGTAAATCAAGTATCTTACCACTTTCCTATAGACAGTGAGAGAACCATGGCGCTAAGGAGTAAGAGACTGAAGAGTTTCCTGTTAAACATGTTGTTGGGTTAAGTATTGGCATGGAGTTTTTGATAATGATAGCGGGCTCTAGATTCCAGAAACTGATACCTTTTGTGATGCAGGACTGAAGATAAGACTGAAATGACAAAGATTCTTAGTCAGTAGCCCTGATTGAGGCTACTGACTGGTCAGGGAGCTGCACCAATCATTATATTTATTTTCTGACTGCTGTAGCTTTGTATGCCTCATTTCTTCATTTGTTTGGTATTTATCTAGTGCTTACAATGGGCCCAGCACTAAAGATAACTGAGATAAAAAAACTCTTCATCTTGTTCCTCACAATCACGTTTGGTGGGTGCTCAAGCTTACAAAAGAGGACTTCTTGTAGTTTGAGGCTGAGCTGCAAGGATTAGGCCCAAGGAAAGCCTGGAGGGACTGACCTTTAAAGTTGAGTTGAAATTGGCCAGTTAAGACAGTGGGAATGGAACCAGGCGTGGCAGCTCACGTCTTTAATCCCAGCACTTGGGAGGCTGAGGCAGGTGGATCTCTGTGAGTGTGAGGCCAGCTGGGTCTCCATATCCATAGTGGGTTCCAGGCCAGCTGGGGCTACAGAGAGACCCTGTAGCCAAAAAAACCACCAAAAGACCAAACAAACAAACAAACAACAACAAAAAAAACAAAGACAGTGGGACTGATTTAACAGAGGATATAGCATTCCAGAAACCAAAGGCCTGAGAAACTATTAACAGCTTGATAAGGTTCGGATTGTTTAGAAGTAGAATATGTGATTCATGTTTATAACATTGGTGACACAATGGTAAGATATCATTTGGAAACAGATAATTAAGAAAGGTACATAAAGAATGACAAGGAATTAAGAT